CTGGGTGTGTTGGTATTTGCCTGTAATACCAGCTACTGTAGGGGCTGAGGCAGGAGGATCACAAGTTCAACGCCAGCTCGGGTAATTTAGGGTGACTGTCTCAAAATAGAGAGTACTTGCTTAGCATGTGGGCTGGAGGCACTGGTTCAGCTCTAGCACCAGAAAAACAAAATTTACCATGCTCTGTCTTAGGCTCTGGGGTACTGAGCTTCCTCTAACTCTGGTGAGCTTCTGGGACTGGTTGAGTGAGGCCTGCAACTAACATTCTGCTTTTCTTTTTCATTCTGGCCTATTTGGCCTTTCTACTCAAGAAGATTGATGGTGTTGGAAGTCAACTTCAGCTGTCTGAAGGAAAGGATGTGCTTTGATGATTTCTACAGGCCCCTCATTTTTCACCTTTTATTTTTTCCTTTCCTTCAGAGATGATCTGGCAGGTGTCAGAGTGTTTTCCTCCTGTCGACTGATCTCCCGTCACTTCAGTGAAATGACTGACTGAAATAGCTTCCATTCAAGCAGGCAGTTCTAGTTTTGCTTTTGTTTCTCTTCCCTGGGCAAACAGGCAGGTCTTAAGAGGCCAGCTAGGCACGCTGTTTACTGAATGTTTTGGCCAGTCTAGTGGTTTGGGGAGAGGAAGCTGACAGATCATGATGTTAACATCTGCCTTCTCTGGCTGTTAACTTTAAATGACACTGACTGGCTCCTAGGTCAAGTGTGAGGTGAAGGCTATTTTTTACTGTGTTTGTGGGGATGATTGATGGGGAGGGGTAGGCTTGGAGAGTCAGGGGACAGGCAACCCCCCTTTCTTCTTGAAAATAATTTATAAAGGGAAAAGTGGCAATGTTTTAGAACAGATGGCAGCAGTTGAAGATCAGGAGAGGAGCTGGCTGGGGTGCAGGGTGCATGATTGGGTTGCCTATTGTTGTCTTATGTTTTTAAGGTTGAGAAAACAATCTAGTCTCTAGTTAAAAGCTCAATTTCCTTTTTTGTATTATTATTATTAATATTGGAGGTATGGAAATTGATCCCAGCAGATCCTGTGCATGCTGGCAAGCACTCTATCACTGAACTACATCCCTAGCCCTTTATATTTTGAGACAGTTTCTTACTAAGTTGCTGAGGCTGGCCTCAGACTTGGGATCCTACTGTCTCAGACGCCTGAGAAGCTGGGATTATGGGTGTGTGCCACTGTGCCCAGCCCAGTTACCTTCAGTTGTCCTTCTCTTCCAATGCTCCACCCTACCCTTTATTCCTGTCCCTGGCACTTATCTTTCTGTATATAGTGTAGAAAACAGACCCTTGACACCCCCTAGATGGATTATTGGCCTTCTGACAGGAATTCAGAGTCATTTTTCTTCTGGTTTTGACCCAGTTTTCTAATAACCAGCATGTGATTTGTGTTAACCCCAGCACACCTCCTGACAAGGACAGCTGTGTGTTTGAGTCCCAAGCTCTCAGGTGCTGTCAACCTACATCATGGATATCCTGGAGATGAATTCATTATTTGGTGATGTGAATTCCAGGAATTGAAATGGATCTCATGGAGTCACTAGCCATAGAAGTTTCTTTAAGACACACTTTTGGAAATAATTTTTAAGTAGTTCACATTGAAGAACATCCATAACAATTCAAGGTGCTTTATATTCATAACTTAATTATCTCACACCTTTCTAAGGTAGATATTATTTTTTCTATTTTATAATGAGGAGACTGAAGCTTAGAGAGATCAAGTCGATTGCACAAGGTCACAGCTAATTAGTGCCAAAGCTTGTATTTGAACCTGGGTATGCTTGACTTCCTAGCCTGAATTGCTGTATGATTTAGTTCAGTTTGTACAGGCTGTGGCTACGTTTTGTGTCAAGTGATGTTTTTAAAAGTCAGTGAATATGTAATTGGCAGACCAATTCCAAAACACAAGATCTAGTTTTTGATCTTTGCCTTTCACATACTCACCCAGCAGTCCTGAGGCTCCCTCCTCTACCATCTGCTGCAACAATTTTAAGGTTCTGCCAGACTGGAAAGAAGTTCATTCTGTTACTTCATCCAGGTTGCCAAATAGTGTTGGATGCTAGCCCTTAGACAGGAATCTGTAGCCCTTGCTGTAAACACAGCAGGGAGAGGAGAGCCTTCTGAGAAGAGTGGCTAAGGCTGGGGCTCCTGGTTATTTGGATTTGCCTGTAGTTGAGGCCCTTCTGATTTCATTGTGTGTGTTCATTCACTGCAGCAGATGCATTTAACACCTGCTGAGGGCAGAGTGCTGGGACAGCTCTGCCCAAGGGCAGCAGCAGCCTGTGTCCAAAAGGTTCATTCTCTTTTTGGGAAAGGAGAAGTGACAATGACCACACCATGTGAGAGGGTATAGGTGTAGGTTGGATGAGTGAGAAGAGGGACTGCCTGGGACAGGAAAGGGCTAAGCCCTGAGAATGAGCTGGTTAGTCAGGTGCTGAGGTGGGGTAGGGTTTGGGGACAACCTTCCAGATGGACAGGGGATGGCAACCACAGAACTGGAAGTGAGAGAGAACATGAGGTGTAGGAGGAACTGAGAGACGGTGATCCTGGAGCTTCGGGTATTGAGGGACTTGTTGGGGAGGGTGGGTAAAGGTCAGTCCTGGGTAGGCTGGGGTGGGTAGCAGCTTGAGATCACCACAAAGGCCCTTGTGAGTCCATCAAGCTGCCGCAGCTGACAGCTGACGTCGGCTTTCCAACTTTGGGATTTTATTGCCCTTTCTCCATTTTACACGGAGCTCCCACTCCCTCCAGGCATAGTGCCAGGATTGTCACATGCAGGACATTCAGGGATGCAACACACACGATGCCTTGCTCGCCAAGAATGTGCCTCACTTTTATGGACTACGTTCTGCTCGGCACCTCGCCATTTCAGACTCCCACTTGGGCAGGCAGTATCTCCCTTCCATAAAGAGATTGAAGTTCACCTGTCAGTTATTAGAGCCTGGTCGGCTGGCTCTTCTGTGTCTCTGTGGTGTAGACGCTGATGTGTCAACATGAATCATGGTAAAGTGACCAGCAGTGAGGATGAAGTGTGAAGGCAGCCCGGCCAGAAGCACCAGAGGACTAGCTCTGGCCTTATGGAGGAGGTAGGCCTTAGGCCTTGGCGGAGAGGCAGGGTTTAGCAAGATGGGGATCCTTGTTGCAGGATCCCTTTCAACATCCTATGAGCATTTAGTAAAGCTCCTATATCCTTGGGTCACTTCTTTCCATGCCCCTAAATTGCTCACTACTGTCCAATATAATGCCTATATGATTCAGCAGGTACTCAATGCCAATTTTATTATTTTATTTTTATGTGGTGCTGAGGATTGAACCCAGTGCCTCACACATGCTAGGTGAGCGCTCTACCACTGAGCCACAGCCCCAGACCAAATGATGATTGATACTTCTTTTTATTTTTATTTGTATTTTTTGTGGTGCTGGGGATTAGAACCCAGGGCCTTGTGCATGCAAGGCAAGCATTCTACCAACTGAGCTATATCCCCATCCCCCAATGCCAAAAATAAATTAACTGCATGTTTAGTAGCCCACTGCCTGGACCCTCACTTGCCCAGTGAATGAGGGAGCCTGGGAGCTGTCTGTCTGCTATTTAGGTTTTCAAGTTCAGCTCCCTGCCTCCAGGCACTCTGCTTCTGGGCTGGCTGAACTTGCAGCCAGTAGTCCTGTGGTCTGAGGGTCCCCCCAACAATCTGACAGCATCTGCTGAAATTAAAAATGTGTGGAAACCCACCTGTAGAAATGCAGGCTGTGGCGTGCCTGCAACAATGTGACCATGAGCATCCAGCACATTCAGTCAGCAGGAAAGAGAACCACCCAACACGTCCACAATGAGGAAGGGGCCAGGAAAGACCCTTTCTACACGGCATGGAAGTTTATGAACCCTTTCAAAAGAAAGCAGAGTGGAGATGAATACCCAGCCAGAAACTGTTGAATGGAAGAGCAGGATCCCCTGTAAAATAGAATCTGCTGTAAAGACATGTACTTACTTGAGGGCTCTAAGGAAAATTACTCAAGGTTAGTGCTCTACTCAGGGGAGGGGGCACTTAACTTTTCATTGCAGACCCTTTTGCAATTTTGAGTGATGATGGAGGGGGTGGTGGCTGACACAGTAGGTAGCCCTTGTGAATACCAGCAGAACAAGGTGACTGGTTGTTTCGAACACCTCACAGAGATTATCTCATTAAATCTTCACACAACCCTATGACATCGTTATAATTAATGATTTTTAGGAAAACAAGAGGCGGGAGGGTTACATTATTTACGAAGATGATATAATCAGTGGAGAGGCCTGGATTGGAGCTCAGGCAGCCTGATCCCCAAACTCCTAATTTTTCATTAAAAACAGGTCCCTGATAACTTCTGGTCCTTTAAACTGCCTCATCCACGGGACTCTGTGACTTGTGTCATAGGGGACTTGACCTCCCAGGTCCGCCGCTGCTTTACCGGGGAAACGTGTCGCAGGTCCCGGCGCGGGGTGCACGGCAGAGCCCCAGGTCCCGACGCCGCGGTGGGCGCGGGCGCGGAGGCCCTAGGCGTCCCTGGGTAGCCGGGCTGATGAAACGCGCCTCCCAGCTGGGCTCCGCGGCCAGGCACGCGTTCCCTCCAGGCCCGCGGCGGGCCC